GGAAACCAAAGTTTCTGTACACACTTGGCTTTCCACTCCTCGTATGATGGACATGCTGGCACACAGCATGTGTCTCCCATTTCCTATCTACGCTGTTCTTTCCACTGTTGCCAACTCCTGAGAAAGAAAAGTACTGGCTGTCCTTAAATTAGGTGATGATGTCATCACCTAATTTGCATATTTGTTTATGTGATCCAGGCTCTAGTGGGTAAGAGAAATATCAAAAAGTACAAAACCATTCTAAATATGTTTAGAACTACAAATGGACTTTCTGAAGTAATTTTGTATCTCTAACTTTCTATTTAGCAACAGAGTTGCTGAGTTGGCAACTGTGACTGTTTCTCCACCTTTACTGCTGTTGCTAACACAGTTCTGTGTGTTACCTCTCATGTTGCAGACTATTCTCTAACCTCCACCTTCCTTCTTTTCTTCTTCTTTCTTTGCTCTAAAGCTTGCAACATCCTTGGAAGAGATGGTGAGTTTTTATTGGCACATACTTTTGCAAAGGTAAAATCTTTGAGATGTTTGAAGTGATTATTGTTGTTAGACTAGTTACTGATCGCTGTTCACAACGTTTCGTCCTGACATGGGTCTGCCTGGATGTTTGTTATTTTGGTTTTCTTAGTTAATGGATCTGGGTCTGTCAGGTATGGAATATATTGTATTAATGTATTTATAGTCATTTTATAGAAATTGTAGACTGGTCTGAGGTGGAAATTGTGCTTCCTCCTATAATAAGGTATCAGACATCACTTGAAAATTAGACATAAAAAGCAGAAAGTCTATCTTTCTTTTAGAAGGCCTCTTGCATCTTTTGTGCATCGTCTTCATTGATTTAATTTTTAAACACTCCTATGAAACAATAAGTATTGAAGTTTGAGAATTCTTCACTTTCATGCCACATATGATCTGTTGTCAAAGCAAAAAGATGGAGAAAAAGAAGATTAATGGTGCTTTTTTTCCCCAGATGAAACTCTGGCCTATAAGTTATTCATATTAGTTAAGATATTTTTAATGATCTGGAGAGCATTAAAACCACAGTCACAGAAACACCAGGGGTAGAACACAAATGACTGAAATGTTGAAGGTTCCTACAGGCTCCTCTTCTGGTCTCCAGTGGAAGAAAAATGCTATGGTCTCTAGACCACCTGTCCCACATTTAAACATGGAGGTGAATTATGTTTAGGGAATGTTTTCCTGCTAAGATTACTGAACTGAGAGACCAGTGGATCGGACCATGTAATGTGAAATCTTGGAATAACTTCTCTGAGCCAAAACACTGAAGCCAGGTTACTGACTGGTCTTCCAGAATGGCAGCCAAATCCATTTGTTGTTTTATTCTGAAATGTTAGTTGATTCTCAGTTTCTTCCCCATTAAACTAAAACTATAATTAAAATGAGAAACTGACAGATTTACTGTTCTTGTTGTTTTTATGCCACTTACATGGTCTGTGTTCATTCTAGGAGCAGGAACTCGAAGCTAGCAAGAAGGAGAAATTAACTGAGGCAAGACTGGAAGCAGAAGTCCGACTTTTTAAGAAAGAAAACGAGGCTCTTCGCAGACACATTGCAGTCCTGCAGGCTGAGGTGTATGGAGCCAGACTAGCAGCTAAATACTTGGACAAGGAACTGGCTGGCAGGTAAGATTGTGCTCGCAATACTGAATTCTGTTAGGACCGATGGTAACGGATATTTCCAGAGGCAATGTTGGTTGGACAGACAACAGTTTTCTGACTGAAGAATGGGACATCATTTGTTGCTGCTCTTCTTCCTTACAAATGTTCAGGCTGGTAGTTTTTCATAAATGTTTTGCTGCTGAAGCATGGTATACAGAAAAAAAGGGTCCTTCCAATTTGGAATTGGTGTTCAATTTTAAGCAGATGTGACTTCCATGTTCTCCTTGAAGCCCTTAGACTTTAATGTCGACACAGTCAGGAAACATGTTGGAGGGTCTTTTAAAGTTTGGAGTCTCGGTACCAAATAATGAGGCTGCAGTCATTAGAGCTGTTGAGGTTCCTCACACAGAACACATCTGGTTTTGGTTCTGTTTAATCCAACCTAAACCAAGCTCATCCTCTGTTTTACATGGACTGTTGTTTTGTCCTGCAGCATACTTCACACATCCTGGGTGGCGTTACAGTTCCATTCTGATACCTGGTTTCAAAAAGCACCAGTGTGAGATACTCCAGTCACTGGTGTCGCGTAAACTGGATTGCAACAAAAACCTTTTAACTTAATTGAAGAGCAGTTCCTTAATGCTCAGGCTTTAGAGGGCCTCCAGCATTAAGAACCTCTTCCTGCTGTTATACTACTGAAGAAGTCTGAGAGCAGCTGACCAGGCTTATGGTCAGACCATTCAGAAACAAAGAGCGGCGAGGAGCACATTATAAGATTTTCCATTACGTTCCCTTCTTTTGATTACCAAAACCACTGTTTACATTAAACACACAAAAAATAACAATTTTGTTGATACATAAAAAAAGCCAATAAACAATCAGATGTACCACAAAGCAGAGTCAGAAACGCCAAGCCATTTTTGCAGGTTGAGAATCAGTCGTTATAATATGGGATGATGGAATAAAGACAATACAAATAGACAGGTAATTGTTTGTTTTTTTGGGTAGGGCTCAGAAAAGCAGCTGACAAGTTTTTTCCATTCTGAGAAATGTGAGCGTCTCTGTTTTATGTGTTTTAAGTGGAGCATGTCGCTGGCAGGAGCAACGGCAGCAGCAACCTCCACCCTCATGGAAGGAGGATGATGCTGAAGCATGTGCAGGCCTTGCACATGGCCCTGCACAAAACTCATTTTGTCTGAAGTTTGTCCTGGGAAAAAGTTCAGCCATTTGCAAAGAGCAGTAAGAAGCCAGACGATCAGAGTCTGGAATGTCATGGGAAGAGCAAAACCAAAATCAACCTGTTTATTTAATTTAATGCTATTTTATTTTATTGCAGTACCATTGTCACACTGAGCAGAAGCATCCTCAAACTAAAAAACATGTGTGTTTGTGGGTGGTGAGTTGGTGTCCTCTGAAGCCCCGCTTCATTAAATTCTTTAAATATGTCATTATCATTTTAAAAATTGACAAGTAAAAATAAATAGACAGGGATTATTTTGACTGCATGAGTCAAAATGGCAGAAGACAAAAAAAGTTGAGTGTAATCTCTGATTTCCACACTATATAATTATAAACAGTGAACAGACCTGGACTGGGTGTCAGAGCAGGAGGAGGAATGTCAAAGATGGAGGACTCTGTTAATCCTACACCACAGATCTGGAGGGGTTGTTATGTGTTTTGGAAACGTTTTGGCAGAAAATGTTTGTGTAATCCTGCTGTAGATGTTGGAAAGCAAGTACTCTACAGTAAACTCAGGTGAAAAAGAGAGACATCAGATGTCTTAACATTTCTGGCTCACATTTTTGAGCGCTGCAGGTTTTTTTTTTTTGTTTTTTTTTTTTTGCTGCAGTCAATAATTTATCACAATAAAACTTCAGCCTGCATATTGATCATATAACACAAAGGCAAATTATTTATTGTTGTAATGTTACTGTTCCTCAGATCAGGATAATCTCCAGGTTGGTTTCAAAGGGTGAGAGTCAGAGAGGTGGGGGTCCCTGCTTGTAACAGTGTTGCATAAAGTCATTTTATTCCTCTTTTATGCTATATTCATTAAACACAAATAGTTTTGTTTCAGTTGGATTTTATTTTAAAATGTGACTTTTTAGACAGGAGCCACCCCTACTTTAATTAATCTTTCTTTGCCTTTTTGCTGACCATACAGTATAATAATAAATGTCATTAAATTTCATTCATCCTGGGTTTTATTCTTCTTGAGTAAAAACTCTGACTTCTGTTTTTCCCGATTGGTTCCTACAGCTTTGGGTCTGGTGACATTTTGTATGGTTAGTGAATCTGCTGGATACTTTCACAAAAGAAAAGACAATAAAAGCATCAGAGCCAGGAACCTAAAAAGGCTGCTGCTCTGAATCTAAAAGGTTCTGCTCTGGTTCTGTTCTGGTTCTGTCCGGGGGACGTCTGTGGAACCTCTAGACATGATGATGTACAGAAGGATTCTTCATAAAAACAACCAGACCATCCTGTTCATGAGACTGTCTTGGGAAAACAGCATCTTCAGTCAGAGGCTTCTTCAGATGTACTTTAACACAGACTGCAACTTCCTGCCTACAGCCATCACCATCTACAACAACTCTTTGATGTTACAACATTTTATTGTATTAATTTTAGTATTTTTGAATTTAATTAGAATATGAATGTGGTTTGTTAGCAGCCAGGTGAAACCAGCTCATCAGGGTGAGACTCAGCAACGATCTGAATTCTGTACAACAGGCTGATGGTTGTGAAACAACAGTCAGTTGGTAACAGTGAAGTGTTCAAGCCTATTAAATGTTACATCCCAGCAGTTCGTTTGCAACGTTGTGCAAACTGAAATTTCCTGTCAGCTCCCATAACAACACCAAGTTAATCTGAACTCACACCAATTAAAAATTACAGCTGAGAGAAGCATATCCTAACAGATGACAGTAGATGATGATGCGATCACACTTCCAGGGTGCAGCAGATCCAGTTACTTGGTCGTGACATGAAAGGACCGGCCCATGACAAGCTGTGGAACCAGCTGGAGGCAGAGATTCACCTCCACCGCCATAAAACAGTCATCCGTGCATGTCGAGGCCGCAACGACCCAAAGAAGTCTCTTCCCTCTCCTGTGGGACACGTATGTTTAAACTCACACAGTGGCTGAAAGCACTTGCATTTGTCCTTTCTAAAAACATTTGAATGTTAATATTTTTTGTATAACAGGACCCTGACACGTTGAAGAAAACCCAGGGAGTGGGTCCTATCAGAAAGGTGGTGCTCCTGAAGGAGGATCATGAAGGCCTAGGAATCTCCATCACAGTAAATAGAACTTTTTATGCCTTGAGGAGGAACAAACTCCAATTTTGCCCAATTTTACAAACTTTATCACTTGGGTAAAATTAAAAAAAACCTTCAACACAGTCCACGCCTCCAGTAAGCAATCGCTTCTCAACATCTGAAGGTCCATCAGTATGAAGCAACGTGTAGAACAAGGAGCTGGTTTTCACCAGGCTGGGATTCCAACCGACGACTGTGGCTTGTTTAAAAAAAATCAACTTTATTTATGATATTATACACATGCAAAACATACATCAACAAATGAACATGACTTAAGACAAAGGGATATTTTAACCCTAATCTCCTCTGACAGCCCTCAGAAAAAAGTCAGCATGGCAATAAGTACAAAACTGAAAAAGAAACATTATACTTACTGTTTGGAACAAGAGACGTGTCTGGATAAAGTTGCTTTTAAACAGAGGAATCTGAAGTGACTCGATTTATGCCAAAATGAATACCTTATTGTTTGGTGAGGACCTGATGTCATGTGTCTGTTCTTCAGGGTGGGAAGGAGCATGGCGTTCCCATTCTGATTTCAGAGATCCATCCTAACCAGCCTGCAGACAGATGTGGAGGTCTGCATGTTGGAGACGCCATCCTTGCTGTCAACAGCATCAACCTGCGAGACGCAAAACACCAGGAAGCCGACACCATTCTCTCTCAGCAGGTAGCATCTCTGTTAGTCTGGATTTCTCTAACTTTAAAGAAGGGTTAAAGAGTTACTTCTTTATGAGCAGCTTATTTGCTTTAATATGCTCACTGTGGATGTTTGTGGCAGCGAGGACAAATTGAGTTCGAGGTGGTATACGTGGCCCCAGAAGTGGACAGTGATGATGAGAATGTGGAGTATGAGGATGAGAGCGGCCACCAGTACCGACTCTACTTGGATGAACTGGAGGACAGCAGCACAACAGCGCCACCAGGCAACAGCTCAGCATCACTTCAGGGTGAAAGAAATCTCTTTTTTTAAATACACTGTAAACGAAAAGTGAGGAAAGTCAGGAAAGTGTTTGGTCAAATTAGAACAGATGTCTCCCCAAGTCTGATGCGTGTGTGAAAGAGTGAGACATTGTATAATTCACACAAGTAAATCACATATGAAACCTGCAAATCCGTTCATGGAGCAGTGACAAGTCCTGCCTAGTTTTCAATGTTTTCTTGCTAGATGTGAGAATAGAAACTGATTAAATCAACCGAACACTAATGTCCAATATGACTGATTGTGAGAATGGAGCTAAGATATTCAGATAGCTGTTAAAGTATCCAAATTTAAATAATTAAGGCAACTTTCATTTCCTTAAATGTACTAGTAATTTTAGCACCAATTTGGTGTAAAAGTTTCTTTACTTTTGAAAACAGATGTGCAGAAAGTCAAAAATGATCCATGGGTAGCTATGTTTTATTCATCCTTATATGAATGGGATGAATAAAGTAGAAACTATTAACAGAATCCATCATAACTGATCCGTTAGATTAAAAAAATTGAGGAACAAAATTATCTGAACCAGCTGAATTAACCAAGTGCATTACATGAAACCTCAGTTCCCTTAAGGAAGAAAAGGTCAACACGTTATATGAATCAGTATTCACGTTGAAAAATACAAAATGAACGTTAATCTATAGTCAAACAATAATGTAACATTACCTCTAATTTCCCTGGAAATTAGAAATTGGGTAATTTCAACAAGAAATTCTTCATTTCTTGTTGAAGCAGGTGTGAGCGTTCTCTGTTTCTTTCTGTAAAGCTGGTTTCATTCACATGTTGAGTGACATTAGATGGCTTTACCTGCCAGTTCCTTGACATGTCTTCAGGTTTTCTGTGGAGAGAGGCCGTCTGTAGGAGAAACGGCAGCATGTTTGTCCCAAAGTATTGAATTATTTTTGAATTATAAGGAGGAATCATTTTTAATTCAGTCAGACTAAGAGTTTTTTGTTCTTTATGAATCTTTTCTCTCCATTCTGCAGCTCTGGAGAAGATGACACTGAACAATGGACCGGAGAACGGAAACCCTGGGATCCCCTCTCAGAAAAATCCGCAGGAAACTCCGTCAAAGCCATCAGACACGGACTACTCTTCATAAAATGCCAAACTGACCTCTGGAATTTTTGGACAAGAACTGAAACAATTCAGTGACAATCTGAGAAACTTGGGGAAACCGACTTTTCCTGTCCATTTTCCCATTTTTCTCTTTTGGTCTAGATGAAGTGCGGTTTGTGGCTTGTGGCACTTGATCTCAGTGATTTTTATGTGAAAGTTTGATGCCATGTTAATGTTACTGGGGAAATTTGAGAATGTTTTTAGCAATGGGAGCTGACAGGAATACACTATAGGAGAGAAATATGCACGCTGACATGGAAGTGGGATAATTTCATCTCTTTATTGATAAAATGCTTCAGAGCTTCTGTCTGGGGAGACGGTGTGTTTTGGTTCATTATCTGGTCTTTTAAATATGGAAGTCTTTTCAGGATAAGATTCTGAAAGAAAAATAAGTGATTTAGAAACGTAGGACACCTTTCACAAGGAACTCGTTTAGGCGTCAAATATTTTAGGCAGGGTCTGTGTTTTTTTTGTTGTTTTTTTTAACAGTGACTATAGCTATGTTTTAATGTGTAAACTCCTATTTGTGTAATCAGAAGTTTAAGATGCAATGTGCTGTTTGGTGAGCCACCTTGTCTTTCCATAGCTCTTAGGCTAACAACTGACCCTTTTCAGGTTGCTGATGTTACTTTTGATTTTATTATTATTATTATTATTATTATTATTTGTTCTTGTGAACTTCTCGGCTTTTCTTGAGGTTTTTTTTAACTAAATAATTTCAAAACCAGCATGACACATTTTTTTTAATCACTACTATCCCTGAAATTTCATAAACATGAATGAATCCTTGTCTCCACATATTTAGTTGGTAGTTGAACAAGATTGTAGGTCAGTGTTGTCATTGGCAACAGTATCACACGTCCTAAATTTGTTTAGAGGAGACTACTGTACCCATCTCTGTTATGAATAGACAATCCTGTTTATTTACTGATATTTGGTATGTGTGCTCTTTAAAGTTGCTGCATTTCCTTGTTCTTTTTAAAACTGTTGGTTCAGTGGGAACGCCTCCCAGTATAACTGTAGAGAAAGTTTGACTGCACCAGTTTTTCCAGGCTTCCATCTCAGCATTCCATGTATTCAGCTGAATCGTTTATTATCCACCTGCTTGTTTTTGAACTTGAATAAACCATTTATTTGTCATAACTCTTTCTGAACCTCACTATGTTTTTGTCAGTTTAGCTTTTTTGGACTTTGTTTATAAATTCTTCAAGATACTCTTTAATTATTTAAGGAACTTTTAAATGATTAAATGCTCTTTAATTATTTAAGTATTCAAGTTATTGAATGGCCTTTAATAAATATTAAAGTGCTACACACGCAAACAAGTTGCTAACTCTTTATTAATGTTCGGAAAGACCACAGGGGTCACTGAAATGACTTGAAACTGATCAAAGTAACAAATAGAAATGCACTTAAATTTAACTGATGACTATTGGACCATACTTTTGAACTGCAGTTCAACTGAATCATTAAAAAAATGTAACTGCATTTGTCAAATTTGAAAATTCGAATGATTTAATGTTGGTGTAGAATGGTGCAGAGCACTGTGATAAATACTGCATGTGTTTTTGGAAAACAACATGAACGTCTTTCAGCATTTTAATGTAATTTATTCTATGAATCTTGTCAGACTCTCCTCTGTGATGTTTTTAAACTTCTGACAGACAGCACTGAGTTATTAAATGCAGTAGAACCAGACTGCTGCACAGCTGTCTAAAGCTGCACAAGGTTTAACAGCCATCAGTTGATCATGAAGCTATTTTATATCTGTTGTCTATTTTGTTTTCCTGCATGCCTTTAGCTTTAGTCGCACAGACAGATCAGTCTGAAACGTCAGAGCTGCAGCTGTTCTGGAACGGTCCTGCTCATGTTTTCACTAAATCCAGGAAAATGAAGCTCATCACCCAGTTCTGAAGGCCTTCGACTGGCTCCCTGTAGCTCACAGAATAATGACAAGATACTCTAGTTAGTTTTAGCTTGACACCAAAATATAATTAAGATCTGCTTTATCAACCTTCCAGATCGCTCAGGTCTTCTGATTCAAGCATTCAGTTTCTACACTCCTCTAATCTAGAACACATGTCCAGAAGACAAAATAGCTGAAACACCAAGTTTCTTTAAGCCCATTTATCGGTGGTTGCCTTTAACTTCTAGTCTAGATTACTACTTTTTATTACTTCTCTTTATGTTTTCAGTGTAATGTAATGTTTTTGATGAGATGTGCTATACAAATAAACTTGACTTATTTCAGTTTTATTAATATTTGGGCTTCTCTTTTTTGTTTCATGCTATTTTTCAATTCTATTTCATTGAAAAGCATTTTGAAGTTGGGGGAAAAAAGACAGAAGCTAAAAACCCCTGAAAAAGGCACACACACAAAATTTCTGTAAATATTTTTATGTAAATTTGGATGTTTGATGGTTTATTTTATAAAAACAGTTTAGTGAAGTGGGCCGTGTGGTGAGCAGCACCAGGACCAAGTCTGAGCCCAGATCGACCCACTGCTGTTACTAACCTGCAGCAGATCTTCCACAGTGAGCCATGCTCTGCAGCAGGAAGGACAGCACATCGCAAACTACGTGTGGTTGTAATATTACTGTCCATAGTACCAACAGGCACAAAGTTCTGCTTAGACTTTGAATTTATTCTTATATGACCTTAAGTAATATCCTAATTTCCAAGCAAAGTTAGTGTCACCATCCTCAACATTTTATTGTCTGCATAAGATCCTATTTGTCAGAGGAGTAGAGCGATGGACGTGCTGCTCTGCTCGCATCCAGTGCTGTGCTTCTGGTCTGAAGTGGATTAGAGGCAACAGCTGTTACAAAACTTCAAACATGTCCAAACCTTTCAGAGCTGTGACAGATAGTAGGATTCATTTTCCAAACATCCTCGTTGTATAGAGTTAGAGATTTGATAAATGAAATGTTTAAGAATTCACTGCGTGGCACAGCCTGGAGCCACATACTGAGGACAGTATTCTGCTACAGTTCTCCTCAGATCATCTATTCCTCTCTTCAGCAGGCCGACTTGGAGCAGCTTAGAGCTCGGTTCCTCTTCTCCTTCAGCCAGCTGGTGCTCCTGTTCCTCTGCTGAGACGCTGAGTGCTGGATGGACACAACAGAGCAGCAGAGGACATTTGGTCACCATCTCAGTAACACATCCATACTGTCTACATTCAGAGAAATAGAAAATACTGTTTGTTCATTTTACATGAATGAAATATGATTCAAACATGTCAACCGTGTACTTCACTTTTCAACATTTCTTCCTTCCTTTCTACATAAACTGTCAAAAGCTCTGCACACTGCTGTTCCTGCTCTCCTGCTGTATATGATTAACCATATGAAGATGTGACGTTGAAGTGTTTGTGTTTAGCACATTACATTTCATTCCCAGAAGCAGAGAGAGGTTGGGCTCTTTTCCCTGTGCTCTTTGGGCTAGGATGCTGCAGAAACCTCGCAGGTCAAGCAGACACAAAGACATCTCTTTCAAAAGCTCGTCCACTCCTGACATGCTTCCTGCAGATGACAGATGCACCAACTTGTCTTTGTCCTGGTTAACAGAGAGAATAAAATGTTCGTGTTTCAATGTGAGCATAACTGGGTCAATGACAACAGAGAACATGTTCAGCAGACTGCCCCCCCCCCCCGGCAAAATAAATAAATACATAAAATCTGAATTATGAAACCATGACTACGCACAACAGAAAGTAATTTTCCTTGATGAATAACAGCTGAACCTAAAAGTTTGTGCAGAAGGTCCCATCTTAGATTCTGTCCCATCTTAGATTCTGCCCTCTGCACAATCACATCCAACCACAAATGGTCGATGCAAAGCATCTCATGAATGTCAGTGTTTAATGAGCCAGATGTTAATCATATGACTTCCTGACAACCACGCTGAAAAGAGGGAACTAAACACGACTTCACAGTGGAGCGTTCTCCTCTGCGCTCTGGTGGTTTGTTAAAGAGTATTGGGTGCCACTGCCCCCTTCAGGTTACAGTGGAGTACTGCATGAGTAAATCAGGTTAGAAGTTAGTTTTTCCTGGACTCATCAAAAATCATCACCCACAGCGCCAGCCTGCAGGATCTACCCTGACCTGCTTTGTGACAATAAAAGAGTCAAGGCTTGAGCCAGCAGGTCACTAAATTTGTCACATGGCTTATACATAAATAGAATGCAAATGCTTTCTATTTACATACATAGCTTCATTGTCCATAGCAGTATGGACAATACTGCTATGGACAGTATTGGGTGCAGACAATTGCACTGATCACATTTGAAAAGAAAAATGGACATGGCTGCAAACTACCTTGTAATGTTGACCTGTTTACTTCCAGCAGCCAACTCTGACCTGTTAACAGAACATCTGAGCTGAACAATAGAATTCAAGTAGTAATCAACAGCTCAGTCATTTTTTATAAAATAGGTCGTATATGAACAAAACAAAACAAAATCAGATAAGAGGAAATATAATTTTTTTTTAAAAAGAAAAAATTATCTTTTCAGTGATTTTATTTGTTTTAGTAAACTGCCCTTTACGGTGTAATCCGCCTCTCACCCAATGATCACTTAAACAGCAAGTCTACAAGAAAAATGTTTAATGCAGAGTTGAATTACTTAAGGTTCAATTGTCCTAAATAAAAAAATACATATTTTCCCAATTATGAAACTATCAGGTTGTGCCACATTCCTGTTTCCTATTTAGGTGCATTAACTGTTTATCCATGGTGTATCATCGTATCAGAGTTATCCTGATCCACTGTTTGTTGGATATATTTGTGCTATTTTCTACATTATAGAATAAGCACATCAGTTATCATTTTAGTCTACACTGTACTGCATTCAGTCCCAGTGGATTTATTTGTAAAAGAATAATTCACCTTTTGACTTTGTCAGTTAGAAGGAGGAACCCCTCACTCTGAAGTATACCCATACTGAAGATCACGTTTAGATTCTGTCCTCCCTGAGCAGTAGACCAGCAGTAGACAGTTGGTCTACTGTTCTTCCCGTCATTTATGGGAACTTAGGCAAGCGTATGACTTTTTAGTCTTGGTTCTGAGTCTTTAGAAAAAAATAAGCTATTTTGTCGCAAACAAACCCAGAATGCTGGCAGTGACCATGTGCACGTCCTGAGTGTGTAAACATGTCTTGGGAATTCACTTGAAAAAGGATTGAACAGTGTAGACTAGAGTTTAGAGTTACAGCCTGAGCCAGACTCAGAACTCAGGCCGGGTCATGGCCCGGTCGGACTTGGGCTACTGTGGCACATTTTCAATAATATAACCAGCAGAGGTTAGTTGGCTCCGCCTCACACACAATGTCTATGGGTTGGACTGGGTCAGGTTGGAATTTGTAGACTCTTTCTAAACTAAGTCAAACAGCTTTGAAATGATTTTGAACATAAAACTGGTCTATGGGGTTTGGCTTGTTTGACTACAAGCTAAGCTAAACTAAAGTTTCTTATACTGACCAATACCCAAGCAAAGAGTTTGGCATTCCAGAGAGTGATACCTGTGAGAATGCTCCAAGCATGCTGACCAAGTTCTCCTCCTTTTGCAGAGAACAAGCCACTGGTGGATGAGCAGCATCTCTTTTTTTTAGCAGTCTTCCACTAGTGGCCTATCAAAAAATAAAATACAAACAAATGAGGACTATGTTTGGGACAAATAAGGCTGATGTTCTGTTTCATACAGGAACATCACCAAACCAACTAATTCTGCTGCTTTTTGTAGTTGAAACAGTTATAAAATATCATTCACATAAGCTCTTACAACATCTTAGAGACTCTATTTTAATGTAGAAATTCACTAATTCTGAACTGGGCTCACTGGACACACTATAAACCACAACCTCTCTGCTTCACCTCACTTCAAAACATTCAAACTAAGACCTTGCTGGCTTGGCACCAGATTCCCCAGCAGACTTCTGAGGTTGAGAGAAATCCCAAACTTATCGGGTTGGGACTAGCTTTAGGGGAAAAGGGAGAGCTGTGGTATATCATGAAAACAGTCATAATGTTATGAGTAATAGTAATAAATGAATCTAACATGTATATTTTAAATATCCCTACCATTAGTTGTGAAGTTAGTCTCTCAATTTCATCCTTCTGTATCCTTAATACCTGGGGAAGGTGGTGGATTAATATATTTTTGAATTTAGCGTAAGCGTTTCTGTTCAGTTGTATGTGATGCTACCATGTTGCTGCTATCTTGCTGCTGCAGGAGCTGAGAATTTTCTCCCAAAAGGTTTTTTAGATCTTGTACCGGCAGCCTGGCCCCGTCATCCAGACACTGCTGCACTTTCTTACGCAACCTGTCCAATAAGAAAAAACAAACAAAAAACAACAATAAACAAAGTGAGACAGTGAGATAAGCACATACAAAATAAAACAGGAACTATGATCTCACACCATACCTTTGTACAGATGTCATCATCTCATCCTCTGTCTTGGCCTGCATCTCAATCATGACATCTTTCTTCTTAATCAATGCACATTCTTCCTCTATGCTCTTCTGTAACTGGAACACTGTATTCTCAAGAAGCCTGTTTTTTTCCTCTAACTTCTCCTGCTGAGCATATAAACAGAGGCTAGTTACCTAAGGTTTATGTACTGGGAGTATGTGGATAGGAACCAGTGTGTTGGTGCATATCCACAGGGACTCATGAGATTGGTGCGCCATTATATACATGTATATGCTAAGAGGCAGCGTCAGTGAAGATCTACAAGATCTAATACCAGTATTGGTCTAATATTGGTATTAGACCAATATTAGACCAATTAGATATTGGTATATCTAATACCAATCTAATACCAATATACCAATATTGGTATTAGATCTAATACCAATATTGGTCTAATATTGGTATTAGACCAATATTGGTCTAATACCAATATGATCAATATATCATATTGGTCTAAATATAGATGTTATGGTAGGCAGCTGTGTCTTGTGGTTGCCATCTGACCTCAATAAATTCATTAATAATTGCATCATAGCCTTATATTCAACTTAGTTTAGTTAATTTATATAGTGCCAATTTACAACTAATGTCTCAAAGCACTTCTCTTATGAAGTGGCTCCAGACTGGCTGTGTGAGTGTGTGTGTGTGTGTGTGTGTGTGTGTGTGTGTGTGTGTGTGTGTGTGTGTGTGCGCGTGTGTGTGCATGTGTGTGAACCAAGTTTTTATATCCTTATGGGGACCTATTTCTGTGTGCGTTGTGGGGTTGTGGGGACCACCACTTCTTATGTGGACAAATTCTGGTCCCCATGAGGGAAAATGCTGTTTGTGTGTGTGGGTGCATGTGTGTGTATGTTTATACCTGTTTGGACTGGACTTGAACTTCATTTAATGTGGGCAGATCAGAGAGGTATTTTTCTAGTATCTCAATGCGTTGCTGTTTGTCTTGGTTCTGCTCACTCTCTCTCTGGTATTTCTTCTTCAGACTGGTGATGTAACGATCCCTTGTCTTTATCTGTTCACAAATTAAATTGATAGATCAGTCAGGCTGCAGAGACAAACACAAGTCAAATTTAAAGTAAAAAAGAAAGAATTGACATAAATTGTGAATCATACCTTCTCTTCCAGTTTTCTGATCTCCTCTGTATATTTTAGAGTGACCTGCTTAAAAAACAGGTTCAGATGGAGCACTTCAAGCTCGGCAGCTGCTAATTTCTTACTAAGTTCTTCATCACAACATCGCCTGTCAGATTGCAGCTTGCAGGATGTTGTCATTGCTGACTCCTAAATAACAAGAATTGAGTTTTGTAATCACGTATCTAACTTTGAATTCTTCACCGTATCTCACCTCAGTATTTGGGATTATGGAGGTATGAAACTGTCCTCTCTGGCTGCCCAGGACCTGCTGGGCTCTGTGCTCGTTCTCTCTGATCCACACATGCAGCTGCATGATTTGTTGCTTTTGGCTGAAACACAAAATCATTTTGTTTCAGCAACAGATTATCGTGAATGGTTCTGTTTTAATTGTAAAGTTTTAGATTATAATTGTTTTGACAACATCATAACAATAATATAATAATGATAGTTATGCTTCACCAAGTTGGGGGAACAGGCCCGTTATAGACAGTACTGCAAGGAAATGTTAAAACTGAGCACTGAATGTACTGAAACAACACATAAAGTTTGTCAGTATTTATTAATATAATAAAAATTATTACAAAAAAGAAAAAAAAAATCTTGAAGAGGAAGACACGGGGATTCAGTAGTGAGCAAAAAATGTGAAAGGAAATCATATTAACCTCAACTAATGATCAAAAATAAACCTACACCTGAAAAACCGTTTGGCTACAAATGAGGTGAAGGGCGGCGGATGAAAGCTGTGTGCCAGAGGAGACTTCAGTGGGTTCTGCATTACCTTTGTATCTCCAGTTCTCTTTCCCTCAGCAGTTTCTCCTTAACCTTCAGCAGAGTGTTAGCAGGAATGGAAGTTTCCATTAGCATCTGTTAGCACACAAACATATGAAACATGTTGGTAGAGTGGTCAGCTACATTGTATCATGCTCGGAAAATTAACAAACACTATAAATAAAAAGATAACTTAATAAGAAAGAGCAAAAAAAAAGGATACGTTGAGGATTTTAGAGTTAGACATGTGGGAAAAAACATGGCATAATGCTCAATGTGTGTTGGGTCATATTTTTCCTTTATTCCAGTAGAGAATAATGTAGAAATTTTAACTGATGGTCCTCAGTTAAAATTCAACATTTCCATTAACACAAATATAAATCACCAATAGAAGTCCTCTAATTCTTTCAACTGCATTTTTGTAAAATATTCTATTCTTAACCAACCAGTAAATGATTTAGCAGCAGAACGGTTCTTTTGACCAATGAACTTTCAGATTCCTGATTCACAGATTCACAACACCTGCTCGAAAGTCTACAGTGATGTCAAATATTTTCAGCCCTCTGATTGGATGGTCAGAGTGAATCTCTCACCTGGAAACTTTTGCTAGCAAAGCAATCTGCAATACTCATATTAATATATATTTTTATTTTATACTGAACGGATGATGAAGACGGAGAAACTGATCTGGTCTCAGGGATAATAATAATAAAAAATCTATTTTCATGGCGGACTTTTTCTGAACAACTAGACATCATAAAGACAGGAGGTTCAGCCATGAGGGCTACACTTACAGCCTCTTGGAGCATTGGAGTATCAAGAATACAACAAAGAGCAGGCCACAGAGAAGGACTTGATGATACAACAGAATATACAGTCATGTGTCAGTAAAATACATTATACTGTCAGGGCTTGAAGTTCATCAAACTTGTTAGCTAATGATGTCATGTTGAAAGAAATGGTTTAAATGGCCTCCCTCTCTTTCTTCTTTTTTTCTGCTCTGCATTCACAAGGCCTCCTTTTCAACTCCTCTGGGATTTCAAACTTGAGTTGTGCAGCTTTTCCAAACCACCCTGTTCTATGGCTACGCATCATAACAAAATAGCAAAGTATGAAAAGTACTGCCAAAAATCAATCCAACTACACACCATCTAAAACAAGAAGGAACTGTTGTCCGAAAAGTGATTTTCCCCCTGAAAGGCAGAAATGAAAGTCTGACAAAGGAAAGACCTCAATGGAAATAACAGAACTACTCCAACATGCTGCCACTTTGAGCAGCGCAAGCAATTAAATTTCCCAGGTCTTACTGAAGATCTAAGAGAATATCCATTTGCATTCTCCCCAAAGACTAGAGAGCAGAGCAACCTTTGGCTTCTTCACCTGAAAAAACAGAGGACAGTCTGCACCGAAATCTACTCCAGATTCACATTTCACACATTAATGTCAAAGGGTAGAGAAATATAACATCACCACAATAGTTCAATAGAGCTGTGATGACATGCTACTTTTATGTTTCAGCATTGAAGCTGAACAGTCATAGAGAGGAAAAAAGTTGAGGAGCAGGCTCCAATTTAGCATGTTTTGCTGGAGGACCTAAAGATAAAGAAAAGTATGCTGAACATAACAGAGTAGTCAAACAGAAAGGCTTGCAAAAACTTGCAACAAATGAACAGAAACATGTCACATCATTGTGACTTCCCAGGAGAGTCCATTTCTTAACATTTCTTTTATTACAGCAGTAGCATAACTCTCCTCTTACCTGGTTAAGTCCCGATTCCTGATGAGACAGTGTGAGGCCGTTTAAGCCATAGTCTTCTGTCCCTGGTGAACTGGCCTGGCCAGGTTCATTTCCACTCTCCAGTTTGGGTCGGTACTCCATCTGCTCAGTCAGCCACATCTGGGTTCGAACAGCTGGCTGAATGGGCATGCCTCTGTCAGGGTTTTCAGCCACCGGCCAGTCACCCCAGCTGGATGAATGAAGACCACATATTTGCTGACCTTTCCCAGAATCTTTCGTCTCATGAAAACTGGAGCAGCTTAAGCTGTATTTAACTGGAGAAGAATGAGATGAGGAAGGGGACAGGTCTGTTTTCAAGCCAGTAGATCTATTACTGTGTTTGTAGCGATAGCTGGGTTCGGCACCAGGAGATCTCAGTAGAAAATTGCTGCAGTTCATAGTAGAAGACAATGGTAGGTAAAGGTTGATATTTGAATCCCATCTTTTCTTTCTATAACCATGAAGTACACCTCTATCCAGCGAGCCCTCAGCGCCTGGGCTGTAGCAATAACTGGATGTCTTCGTGGAACTCTTATCTACCCCTGACGACAGTTTGGTAAAAGAGGATGACCTTCTGATGGGTTGATGCACTTTCATGTCCAAACTGCTTGGTGCTTCTACAGAAGATGTGGCTTGCTTACTAATGTGGCGAGACATATTCCAGCAGCCTGGGCTGTGGGAAGGAGAAGCCATTTTTAAAAGGATTCTTGGTGAGGACGAGGCAGATGACATGGCGAGAGCTGAAGGGACACCATCCTCTTCCTGGTTTAAGTTATGCTGTGACAGAAGAAGGGAAGACAGAGGAGTTGCACTGGAACAGCAGTCATCTGTAGACACAAAAAAAAACATCTTTTTTTTTTTTTTACCAAAGCAAAAATAATTAGATGACAAGTTGAAGAACATAATATAATAATATAAATGTGTAGTAAGCATGACAATATAAAAAACCTTGAGCTGTGGACAATGTGCATTGCATGCTCTGATATCGAGATAGGTCGAGGAAAATATTACCCTCTGACAGATTAGGTTTTTAAAACTGCATTTGTGATCCTGCTGTTACAAGCATGAAGACGAATTTGCATGAAAAAAGTTATACTCCTATGTGCAAACCCTAAGGCATTAGCTTAAAGTCTCTTACTGCTTTTACGTCTGTGAAAATCCTACCTTCCAAACTGTCAGAGCAGTAGGTACCGATTCCTGTGTCACCGCTGTCAGACACAGAGCTTTGTCGTCGTCCATCACAGATCCTGCCTCCAGAGTAAGGCAGATTGCTGTGCCAGTTTGATTCATGTCCCGGAAACCATCCAGAGCCACAACTAGGCCCTGAAACATGGGTTGAATAAGCATTATAAGCTATTATTGTTATTTCGTTAAATAAGAAGATTTTCTGTAGAGTTGCATGGTGGAATGTTGAGTTCTTCTGGTGAATACAGAGTTTTTCCCTGGGTTCTCCAGCTTCATTCAGAAACAACATTAAAAAGCTAACTGGTCACTATGAATTGTCTGTGCATTAGTGGAAAGAGACTAAAGTTTTCAAGTTCCTGGAAGTATATAGCACTGAATACCTGACCTTAAAGTAACACATTAGACCCTTAAACACTACAAGATCCTCAGGAAGCTACTGAATAGTTTCTACTGGTGCAGCACTGAAAGTTTTCTTACTGAGATGAGTATAAATATCCAAAACAAATAAAATAAAACAAGAGAAACAACAAATAAAATGAATCATGAAGTCTCTGTAAAAAAAAAAAAAAAAAAAATGTCCCAAAAAAAGGGCTACTTGAGGCTAATGCACCAGACTGAAGATGTTTGTCATCCAATTATTGGTAGAAAGAGTTGACTGAACATGTTAGATTAGAGTTAGATGATTTTTATAATAATAGGCTGTTAAGTGGACCAGTTAAAAATAAGTCCCACTTCAGCCCTGGTGCTGCATCAACTGGAAGACAGAGTTGCTAGAAAAAAACATTTTGCTGTACTTATGGGACAAGTTTAGCTTCAAGGATGAGAAAGGAAAACAGCTTTAGCATACAGGGTAAACATAGTTTGGTTTATGTTCAACACTATGACCAAGTAAACATTATGAATAATGTTTTAGCAACAAAAGCAAATAATATCAGTTTTATCTGGTATTATTTACTCGATAAAACTGGTCAATGATGCCAGTTTTATCTGGCTCAAAGTGAAACCAGAGGGTCAGGAGCTTAGTTCAGAGAGAGTAACCTCCTTAAAATAATTGATCATGTAGGAGGGCCAGCAGGTTTGTTGGACAGAGGATGGATGAAGATCAAAACCAGTGGTGGTTTCTGATATAGGTGACATGGGCAACCACCCAGGGCGGCATTTTGTGTGTGTGTGTGTGTGTGTGTGTGAGTGTGTGGCGGAGGGGCTTCTTCCTATCACTGTCACTCATTCTGTGCCAATGCCTAGCCTGGGATTTCTGTTTAAAATATCTTTTATTGATTTAAAACTCATACTCATTTTCTGAGTATGAGTTTTTCAGAACTGACAATTTTTTTTTTACATTATTTTACAAATACATCTAAAAAAGTGTTTTTAGATGTATCTGTAGTGCAGAATTCAAACTTTTAGTGCCTAAGGCGGATATCATCATGTTTTATAGAATCCACAAATAATGTAAAATAAGTCTGTTCAGGAGATTAAGTTCGCCTCATGTCAGAGAGCCAAAACTCACCCCTTCATCTTTTTCATGAAAATAACACAGGTTTCATAAATCAAAACAAATATTTTTGTAATCGTTTAATAAAACAAACCACTTAAAGTCTGACCATCCAAAGTGGTTGAGATTTCGCATTTAAACGGATTAAAGGTACTAAACAAATGCATCGGAATAGCTCTTCAGTGAAGGGCCGAATCGGAAGCAGTAAGTCGGATGCTAACTTCATCGTCGTCCTTAAATCCAAGCAGCCGGGCTCTTCTGTTGGTAGCATGCATTAATACAGTACATGCTTACAAGCCTCTCACCTGCTTTATTAGCTTCAAATCCGGCTTTAAAGTCACTTCTGTCCCACATTGTGTTTAATGTCGGGGAGCATGAAACCCGAAATCCGATCAGAAGACAAAAGAGAAATTACAGCTTCCGGAAAAAAAAAACATGAATACCGACTCAAACATGACTTATTGTAGAACAAATAAAACCATCGTCTGGATTGTTCTTTAAGAAGTAATATATCAAAAAATAACCCCCTGTTTTTGTGTGGGTCTGCAGCTTTTTAGCTGAACGTCCTCTACAAAACGCAGGCATGAAACTCCTCCTCCTCCTCGGCAGCCAGCAGCAGCCTCTGTACGGAAGACCTTCCCCCAATTTTATTTAACAACTGAACACGATACTCCATTAACTCCTGAGGGTTGTTTCACAAAAATAGCATTACAAAATCCAGGATAAAAGATGAAGCCAGGTTTGGAATAACGCTATCATCATCCTGGCTCTATCCAGGATGAACTGAGAAAGACCAAACCAGGTTCTGAAGGGGCCACTACAGAGCCAGGCTTTCATTCAGCTGAATGCGCGTCCACAGATTTCTCAAGCAGACCATGAGATCGATCACAGATTTCCTGATGCGACGCTAGATATATTGCGTACGCCATACCTCACACCAAACTAACATCTTTTTATTGAGGATCAGTGGGTGTTTCCGACATGGACGACATGGGCAATGGCTCAGGGCAGCATTCTAAGGGAGCGGCAAGAGCGCCTTTTTGTTCTTCTATTAATGAAATGGTATCTTTGGGGATATCTCGCCCTCTGAAAAACGGGCTTAAATCTAACATGTTCTTCCAGAAATTTTGCAGTCCTCCGCCACAACTCGCACCTTGGTGACTGAAGCTGGTCTCGCCCAGGTTCACATCTACTTTAAAGTCAGAATTCTGAGAAAAATGTCGGGATTATTTTTCTTCAGTGGCCCTAATCCTCTTCCTTATTATTATACACTTTTTAAAATACAAAAACCTAATGTTGCACTTGTGATCACCGAGAAGGATGAAACAATAGAATATGTTACATTAGAATGTCAAAAATATTAGAAAAGAGCAACTAAACTGTTTAATATAATTTGATTTATATATATATATATATATATATATATATATATATATATATATATATATATATATATATATATATATATATATATATAGACACAATCATCACGAACCACACTCCCTACCAGTTGGTGGCAGTAATGCACACCCTCAGTTTTCTTGCCAACCGCCAAAAACACAGGACAAAGAAGAAGAGGAAGAAATCGACAACAAATCCCGGAATGTTAATTGACTGTTTTTACGGAGTTAATTTTCCTCAGCATACTACTACCAGTAAGTACGCATCATGTCTAACAAGGTGTCGTGCTTAGGTAATTATCCACGACCGAATTTCGTGCCTCGGGAGCGTGCACGGAGTAGGAAGGTTCAGAATGTTGTAGTCAGACAGAACATTTGACAATGTGAAACAATGAGAGCAAATAGTATTTTATCGTTGAAACGAACACAAAGCAGTTTGCTTGTTAATAACGGCATATTGAATGTTGGTGTTTATATGCATCAAGCTTACACCCACGTGATCATCCTCTTATGAAGCAAACACGTTCTCATGCAGGGGAGCTCAAGTTGCCATCCTGCAACTTTCAGATGCTTCCCTGCTCCAACACACCTGAATCAAATGAATGGCTCGTTAGCAGGTCTGTTCAGAGCTGATCCCGGTCTGTTGGAGTAAGGATGCTTCTAAAAGTTGCAGGACGGTAGCTCTCGAGGACTGGACTTCAGCATCCCTTTTCTAGTATTTTTTAATAATATTAAGCTACTTTTCTGCTATAACATGTTAAGTGAAGGATAAAGTAACAAAACTCATGTTTCTTAAAGTTAAAACATCACAAGAGTAGATAGACTATAAGATGCCTTATAACCTTAATAATAAATGTAATATATCAATAAGGTACCTTATTAATCAGAATTCTAGCTACTGACTGTTTGCTCCACATGGCAAACGGACATCTGCTTGGCTTTCAGATCTCAGCCAACACTATGTTTATAAGCCCTGAGGAGGAGGCCCTGATTGGTCGAGTGTTTGAAAACTACCTGACCGAGCATCATCATGGTGACATTCTTCAGCTCAGGACTGATGTAAATGAAGACACTCATCGCTCTGTTGTGGTTAACGCCATGACACTTTTTGAAGCAAATATGGAGGTACTGTTGACATGATTTTCTGTTTTTTGATTAAAGCAGAGGTGATGGCCTTTAGATGTTTTGTTCGTAACAGAAGGACACGTTGAGTGACCAGTTTTGTCCAACGTGAATATAATGCAGTTGACTCTTATGATCTGCTGTGATTTTTGGGATGACCTGATGTATTGGTCTTAGCCACTTTCTGTCACTTGTTGCTAGCTACTATTTATGCTTATATTTGATTTTTCTGCACAGAAAGAACAGAAGTTTGTGATTAAAAAAAAATCTCAAAATGTTACAATGTTCTGTTTTCAGTAGCTGTTGAGTAAATTAACTAACACTACTGAAGAGGCCTGTCTACTCTGCAAAAACGACACCAGTATTAGTCTGAGAAACACCTTCCTGAGTCTGTAATGTTGAATTGGGTTAACATTCCTGTGATGTTTGTGGTATCCATGGAAACTGCACCTGAAATTTTAGTCCATCCTTCAGTGTCAGGACTGATTTTGGTTTCAAAAAGAGACCAAGTACAAGCTGTGTGTCACATAGCTGACTAGTGCAAACAAGTACATCTGTCTTACCACGCTGCACTGCACTGATATTAATCTGTCTTTTTTTTTTAGGTTGGGGATTATTTCAATGCATATCCAAAAGACGTCTTGGCTGTATTTGATAAAGTATTACAGAAAAAAGCCTTGGAGTTAACGGATGAGGCTTCTCTCAAAGACAAAGGACAGGGAGCAGGTCAGAGAGGCCTGAGGCAGATATATCACACCCGCATCACAGGTAAGACATTCAGCTGCCGACCGAGCTCTGTTTGTTTTATGCTGTTTTGTTTTACACTATTGTATGCATTGTATTTTTTTAATCATTTTGATCAGTTGTAACAACATAAATGCTATTCATTCATTTTCTTATTATTGGATTTATATTTCCGCATATTCAAGAGTAGATTTTTAAAGCATTAGAAGTAGTGAAATGGAGAAGTTTAGGATTAAATATTACTGATTCTTATTTATGACAGTTTATAAAAAACATATAGTGTATTTTTTCCCAAATGCACTCATGAAAATTAGGATGTTCTTTGTTCCATTATGGTTTTCTTGTCTTTTTGAACTAATTTAATCCCAGGTCTGCCAGTGTGTCCAGAACTAACCAGACATACCATTCCAAGGTCCAGAGATGTGGGTCACTTTCTGTCTGTTACTGGTACGGTCATACGTACCAGTGTGGCTAAGGTAAGAAATCACATGTTAACTCTGTTCTTGAAGCAGGATATCTGGTTTCTGTTTATGATTTAGTTCAATAAACTGAGCTGTTGGTTGAAAAATTCATGAGTTGTCATTTTGTCTCCTAATCCAATCCAAAATGATCTTGATTTTGGTAATCAGTTGAATCAGGCCTGGACAGAAATACCAACAGTTTTGTCCACGTGTGTGAAACGATTCCCATAAGTAACACATCCAGAACTGAAAGTATACCATCCAGTGTTAAATGTCAAAAAACAAAAAACGCAGAAAGAAGCTGAGCTTTGTCCTGCAATAATAGGAAAAAGTTGTTGTCGTTCATAGATGAATCATCTCTCTTTGTCATCTCCTGATTGAAGCAACGTCTGACATATCTCCAACTCTAAAACATTTGCAGGATTTACAAATATAGTAAACAGAGTCATAAATAAATGCTGGGATGTTCTTTTTGTGTTTCTGCTGTTATGTATTTATTAGGTTCTGGAGTATGAGCGTGATTACATGTGCACAAAGTGCCGACATGTTTTCAAGGTGCAGGCTGATTTTGACCAGTTTTACACCTTCGTCCAGCCGGTGGGTTGCCCAAATCCTGCTGCCTGTAATTCCTTTAAATTCAGCTGCCTGTCTGGAGGGTCGGAGCCTGCTGCCTGCAGGGACTACCAGGAAATTAAGATACAAGAGCAAGTGTGGAACATTTTCATATAACTCCATCTCTTTGTTTCTATTAAAATGAAAAATAAGTTAGAAGTTTCTTTTAAATCTCCATTAGAAAATGAAATGACCCTCTCTTTTAACAGGTTCAGAGGCTGTCAGTGGGCAGTATTCCTCGTTCCTTAGTGGTAGTGCTGGAGGATGACCTGGTTGACAGCTGTAAATCGGGTATGAATCAGCAGCCAAAGTATTTGTAAAATACATGTAATAGAAAACTGACATTTTCTCCTAACAGCTTTTGAAATTCTCAGATTCAGTGCAAGAAACTGTTGAAATCTGCAGTATAGTTACATTACTTAGTGCTGTTGGCACTTTAATAAACCAAGACAAATATCTCTTCATTACCTTTTGCTTAATCTAGCGTTGGGTTCTTGGAGCAGCAGCCTTAAGAGAGGCTCAGATTCCCTTTCTGGCCCCAACCGCTTGGTCCTGCTCCTCCAGGGGAATCCCAAATCATTCTCAAGCCAGCTGAGAAACACAGTCCCTCCAGTGTGTCCTGGGTCTTCCTCTGACTCTCCTTCTTTTGGGATGTTGTCCCAGACACCTCACCAGGAAGGCTCCCAACTGGCATCCTAACCAGTGTCTGAGCCTCCTCAGCTGGCTCCTCTTAGTGTGGAGGAGCAGCAGCTCTACTCTGAGCCCCTCCTGCATAGTTCACTAGTGTTATCTGAGCAGTAGTCGCACACACTCCCCTCTACTAGTGCTGACTCTGTGTGATGACAGAGTCAGATGTAAGCCAGTTGCCCAAACCCCCAATACTGTTATGAGGATACCCAGACATCTGAACCTCTGTCTTCTGCACTACAGGTGGTTCAAATGCATGTCAACTTTGCAACCAAAATAATTCTTAAATTCAAGAAGAGATTTTTTCATTAAAATAAAATATGTTTTCAGGTGATGACATAACGGTTTATGGTGTAATGTATCTCCGCTGGAAGCCCCTTTATGATGGTTCCCCCTGTGATGTGGAGTTGGTCCTCAGAGCTAACAACATAGAAGCAAATAATCAGCAGGCTGCTGCTGCTCTGATGGTAAAAGATGTTCAGAAAGAATTTGAAGAGTTCTGGGACAGCTACAAGCAGAATCCACTGGCTGGTTAGTGTTTTAGCCCTTTGACAAAATATCTTTGCATTTCTTGTGATAACTTGCATTTTGTAATTTGATTTTCTCATCTCTTTCTGTAGGTAGGAATGAGATCTTGTTGAGCCTGTGTCCACAGGTTTTTGGCATGTATGTAATTAAGCTGGCTGTGGCGATGGTGCTGGCGGGTGGAGTCCAGAGAATAGACTCTTCTGGGACCAAAGTTAGAGGTATTTGTCTCCTTTGTTTGCCATAATCAGCATGTGAGTGTGAATCGGAATGATTGATTTCATTGTAAAATGTCTGAGTTTCTCTATAAAGCCATATTTAAGTCTGATTTCATTTCATTACTATTGAAAATAATTTAAACTAAAAATCTATCAACTTTATTTGTATGTCACATTTCAGCGA